GTCTATCCTAGTTGCTGCAAAGTAACACAGAATTACAGCGAAGGACTAAGAATTAAAGGAGAATGCCACACTGAGATGCGACTAGGGGTTCCTGGGCCCAGTCTGGGACCCTCTGCCAGGATCTGAGTTCCAGAAGCTAGAAGCTAGTGAGTAAGAAAACAGTCAAAAGTACTTAATGCAACATAGGAAACATAGGCTCTTGGGTATTACGTTAAAAATATCTACTATTTTTTTTTTCCTTCTGAGCTCCCTGAATTTATGCAATATGCGAGAAGCAAGTAGAGAAAGGGATAATCACACACACACACACAAAACACATTATTTTAAATGCACAGATTTTTCTTCATGGTCTTTTCTGTCATCATTCTTCTGAATTAATGATGCTGAGTTTTACTTGTGTTATTTTCTTATCCAGAGGGAAGCTTGCTTGTGCTCCCCTCTCTAGTGGCATGGTTGACATTAACATGCTTGTGAGACCCTCTCTTTCTTTAATATTCTCTGGCTAGCTTGGTTTTTAATCTAGCAGCCCTTCTTTCAAAATGATCTTTCTGCTGGAGACATATATTTATCATTCCCTTCCCTCTCCTCATTCCTTGACAGCATTCCTGAGGGACTTTCTACCTCACCCCCAAGTTGTAGCTAGCTTTTTGATCATTCAGGTGCAGTTTCTTTCCATACTAGTGACTGTTCTTATCTGTGGAAGATCAACTCAGTAGGCAACTTTTGGGGGGTAAAGTAGAGAAATTCAAAAAGAAGCAAAACTGTTATTTTATAAAAGCCACACTTTTGAATCTCCCCTTTTGTATCTCTAGAAAGTAAGAAAAGAGCCCAATTTTGATTGAGCTGTAGAGCATGTGTAAAGCCCTTGGTTCAATCTCCAACGCCAAAAGAAAAAAAACATTGCTTATTCTTTCTGCATCTGCTTTTTTCCTAAGTAGAAAAAAACGGAATGACAAATATTGTGAGGCTATGTGACTGTGAGAATTATGATTCCTAGTTATACCATCCTGAAGGAAAGAACACCCTTCTCTCAACACAGTACTCTCTTCCATAGACCATCCTGTGGGACTGCCCACCTGGATTCCTATCTCTGTGTAGAAGAAGAGAAAGTCTTCTGGAGACCACCCTTTTCTTAGAAACTCAGCCACTCCCAGCAGGATCCTCACAATACTCCAGAGCAACAAACTAGGAAGATGACTTCCACTGTCTTCCAAAAGGAAAATTTAGAGCAGAAAGATCAAGGGCTCCCCTTAAAAGTCTCCTTACAAAGCTGAGCGTGATGGTGTAAGCCTATGGGAGACCCGAGGATGGAATTGTTCAAGACCAGTCGGGGCTATTGTGAGACCTTGGGCTCAAAACAATAGACTCCAACAACTACCCCCAGATGGTCAGGATTAGAAATTTGTAATTTTCTCATCCCTTTCTTTGTCCACTTTACAGTTCATTTAGTTATCGCAAATTATATCATTAGCTGGAATCCCCTCAGTCAATTTTCAACCCAGTAAATGCTATCCATCTGGGGTCAAATGTGGCTTAAAATTTTTTAAGAGAAGCCAGGCACTGGTGGATCACACCTGTAATCCTAGCAACTCACAAGACAGAGATCAGGAGGATCCAGTTTTGAAGCTGGCCCCAAGAAATAGTTCACAAGACCTCAAAAAACCTATCTCAAAAAAACCCTTCTTCACACACACACACACACACACACACACACACACACACACACGCGCGCGCGCGCGCGCAAAGGGCTGGTGGACTGGCTCAAGGTATTGGCCTTGAGTTCAAAGTCCAGTACCACAAAAATTTTTTTTCTTTTTTATAGACAGCTATATTCCTTAGCCCATTGAGGTCAGTTTCCTCATATGTAAAATGGGGGTGGATCCTACCTTGGAGGAACAAAACTCCAAATGGTGACTTGAAAGTAACAAGCCAGGTTGATGTCACAGCCTGGGCAGAACAAGGATGAGTCCACAATCCACAGGCCATACCTTTGTCTAGACTCACACACCTACAACCAGCCTGGCATAATTTGGGAGTCAGACCTTAAAATATGGTGTATCCGCCATCTTCAGTAAATTTCAAAGTCTACCCTCTGACATCAGGTTAGTTTGTGCTGTTGTTTTTTATCTGTTGGTGGTGCAGAGGGAGAGTAATACCAAAGTGCCAGATTCCTAGGAAATCGCCCTAAGAAGACTTTTCTAGTAAGCACCCTCCACAGTCAAACTTTCAGATGATCAGACACCCTCAAGCTTCTTTAGCACCAGAAAAATGCACTTGAAATATTCACACCCATCTCCCTTGCTATGTAAATTCCCTTCACATTTACTTCCACCTTTTATGGTTTAATATTAACTTTTTATAAAATGAACCTTTACACTCCTTTTCTTGCAGTTGCATTTCAAACGTTCCTCCTCACCAGCAAAACATTTAGCTATTATTAAACAGCCCTTTTTTTTTTTTAATTAAAAATAAGCAAAACCACCTACCCCTCACCTTCCTGGCTGCCTGCCCTTGCCCAAAAAACTCAAGAGTCCTGCTTTCCAAACTGGTGGCTAGAAGATGACAGGTTCCTAAGCCGTGAGGTGTAAAGCTTGTTTTTCTGCTTTAGGGTTTTGTTGGAAAGTTTTTGTTTTTCAAGTGCGCGTCTCTGAATTATTTCACGTTTCTCTTAAATAGTATCCGTTCTCCCTCGTGTGACGTTCATTGTCAATGATGGGTTAATTTTTACCACCTCTCATCGGTTGAATAGCCACTTCTGAACCACTTTTTCCTCTACTAATTTCTCTTCTTCTGGACTCTCTGCAGACGGCCAGAAAGAATCTTAAGAAGGTGGCTGGAAACTTGTCTTAAGTAGCCCCGCGTTCTACCCACGCGTGGAAACCCCAGGTTCCGGACTCCCCGCTCCCACCCGACCTCCGCCCTGCTTGGCATCGGGACGCGGCGATCTCTGAGGCCAGTAGAGGGCACGCTTACTTTACTTTCGCAAACCCTAAAGCGAGTGCAGCTCGGGGAGTGGGGCGGGAAGACGCTTTGCAGCAAAACCGAGCCTACGGATTGGTGGCTCCTCGCGTTTGCGGCAAAGGCCTTTTTAAAGGCTGTAGTAATTTGCAATGCTTAAAGCTGAATTGTGCTTGAGCTTGATTTGCCAGGAAGCTACTACTCATTTTACAACTGAACGCCGAGCTTGCAAACTCAATGGGTGATAACCTCTCTCGAGCAGTGTGCACGCTATACGTTCGCCTCTCCCTCCAAGATATTTATGTATTTTTTTTTCTTTTTTTTCAAGGGTGGCAGTGAGAAAAGTTTACTTCAAATGCCTTTGGGTGAAGGACCAGGGATGAGAAGATTGCCTTTGTTTTTAATGATGTCTTGGAATAATGCAAATTAGCCAATCCCGAGCGAATATGCTTTATACATTAAATATAGATCCATTCAGGGAGCGAACAAATGTTTCAGATTGGTCAATAAACTGGGCCGACATACATGAGTTGTGTATACATGGGTACGGATTATGCATAATGCATTTTTCATTATGGTATTTAAAAAATTTAAGTCGGTAAACTAGGAAATTAATGCCTAAATTACAATTTTTAATTAGCTCAAGACGACCCCCCCCCAAAAAAAAAGAAGAGCATGGAAATTAATACTCTTTCCTTTAATCGGATCGCTGCATTTTTTATGCATGATTACGATTCCAATTATAAAGGGGAAAGAGGACTCCGAAAGAAATTAAACGTCTGATCTGTCCGGGTAGGAAAGAGTTAACGGTTTTCTTTACCAGGGTCTCCTTCGACTCCCCAGGCCCAGTTCGCAAGCTCTTCTCTCTGCTTCTGGAAAGTCAGGTCCCGTGGTTCGGGTACCCCGTAGTCCCTCCCAGATTCTCCCGTCTAGCGCTTTTGATTTTCCCCAAACCCAGAAACCCGGGAATGGTGCAAACCGGCGCCACAGGGGCCACAAGGATTTGTCTCTTCTGAAAGCCGGCTGCTGAACTGGGAACTCCGTGTGAAAGGCGCGGAGGTGGAATTGGGGTGCAGACTGGCAGACACCCGGCGGGGAAGGACCCCCCGCGGCGCGCGCCCGCAACCGCGCTTCCTCTCTACTCCAGCTCGGGAACGAGCATAAAGATCTGAGGGATTAGCGCGTCTACGGCAACAGCCGCCTCCCACAAAGGGCCCTATGGAAGTCCGAGCGGGAGGGGCGGCGGGGGCGGGAGGAGCGGTATCTGCAGCTTTGGCAGCAAATTGGGGGATTCATTCTGGGTTGAAGGTGCCCGAAGCAGATAGCTGTGCACATATAATGCAGAATGTACCACACCCCCGCCCCAAGAAATGTAGTGGGTGTTTATTCATAACGCGCCGTCCAAGTATACGTGGCAATGCGTTGTTGAGTTACTTTAATAATTCTGGGCATCATTTTCCTCCCTACACTTCCTCTGTCACTTATCTCTATCCACACTCTGAGCCCGCGCTCATAAATACTTCTTTTCTCCTCTCTTCCCGGGACTTATTTTCCTAACGCTGCTCTTCGCCCGGCCTTAGGGAGAGGACTGACCGCCCGGGACGTGCGTGGCGTGGCCAAGGATACACAGTGTATCCAGTGTGACCAGGGCAGCTGTTCCACCTGCGATGATTGAAGCTCGCAGGGCAAGAATGCAGTTTGTCAGAGCGCTGCGCCAGAGAGGGAGCCCAGAAAGGGAAAGGGTTTGAGCGCGAGCAGAAGAAAATGGTAGAGGCGCGCAGTTAATTCAAGCTGCGCTCTTACTCTGTTTACATCCGATAGCTGGAGTGCCGGGCTGCAGGCTCAGTCTCCTCCCCCTTCCCCAGCTCTCCACCAGCGCCCCTCCCGAGATCCCGAAGCAGAGGGCGGAGGTGAAAGAAAAGAGATTCTCTCGCCAATCCCCGCCCACCAGCCCTTTATAATACAAGGGTCTGCGCGGCCGAGGACCCCCGAGCTGCGCTTCTCGCAGTGGCCGCCACTGCTGCGCCTTGGCCGCCGCCCGGCACCCCCTCGTGCTTCCAGAAGGGCTGGGCTTCTCTGAGGCTTGGCGGGAAAACGAACCAAGGGGAGGGATCGTGCGTAGCAGTATAAAAGCGGCTTTTCGGGGCTTTATCTGACTCGCTGTAGTAATTCCAGCGAGAGGCAGAGGGAGCGAGCGGGCGGGTGCTCCTGGGTGGAAGAGCCTAGCTAGGAGAGCCGCGCTCCGGGCGTCCTGAGAAGGCAGATCCCGAGTGAAAGGGGCTTCGCCTCCGGCCCCGCCGCCCCCACCCCAACCCTCCCGCAGACCTCCCACCAACAGCCCGCAACCCCTCGCCGAATCCTCGAAACTTTGCCCATTGAAGCGGGAGGACGCTTTGCACTGGAACTTACAACCCCCGAGCGAGGACACGACTCTCCGGACGCGGAGAGGGTATCCTGCCTATCTGGGGACCCTTTTCCCCGCCTTTGCCCAGGACTCGCTCCTCTGAAAGGCGATCCTCTCTCTGGCTGAAGGCTGGATTTCCTTCGGATAGTGGAAAACCCGGTAAGCAGCCGGATCTATTTGTCTTTTAATGTATTTTCTCTCCGGCTTTAATGCTGCGGTGAGTTAAAATGCCCAAGTCGGAGTGGTCTGTCTCCTATTCCTGTGCTATTTGACACTTTTCTCAGAGTAGTTAGGGGAGCTCTGGGTGGGGTGTGAGTAGGTCTGGATCGATGTAGAGTGGCTTGTCAAGACGAGAGAGGAAAGGGAAAACCGAGGTGCGTTTTGAAACTGGGTTTTAGAGATCTTTCTACTATGTGCGTGGACGCTGACCGCGGCCGGTTGGACATTCCTGCTTTATTGCATTAATTGCTGTTGAGTTCCTTTTGGGGAGCGGGAGATCTGCTTCGCTGGCCAGAAAGCCTTTTGCATCCTGAGCTCTTTGGAGTATGGGTCACATACTGCGTGTGTGAGCGAGACTGACTTTTCTCAGTCTCCGGGAGGACATTTAAATTTCGGCTTACTGCATTTCTGACAGCCCGAGACAGACACTGCGGCGCGTCCCGCCCGCGGATCCCCGCGGCGATTCCTTATAAGAAGTTGGCATTCGTCTTTTAAAAAATAGTAAAATTAAAAACACGATTACCAGAGGTGTTTAGGACTTGGCGTTAGGGAATCATAGAGGAGGGTAAGGAGAGGCTGGGGCAGGGATGGGTCTTATTCGTTGACTTGGGAGAAGCCAGAGCGAATCCCCGCAGTCAGCTTCGACTCCCGTCGCCACAATCCGCGGGTGTCCCTGCGCCCCCGAGATGCGAGGGGACGGCAAGGAGCCAGGCTCTGGGCCTGGGGAACAGCTGCTACCCTCGGCGGGGAGGGGGAAGACGCGGAATCGCTGCGGAGTCTCTGGCGCAGTCGCGTCGCCGTACTGAGTGATAAAGGGAGGTGCCCCTGTTATTATTTAACACCCCCCTTTAATTTGCCGGCTGTGGGAGGGGGTGTTAGACCCCAAGGCTGAGCTCACCCCTCCAGCCGCCAAGGGAAAAGGAAAGCCGGCAGAGGAAGGAAGGAGGGTGTGCTGGGGGTGGGGATGGAGGAGGCGCAGAGGGGCGGCGGCGCCGGCGGGGGTAGGAGCGCGGCGAGGGCGCGAGTGGGGACGGGTGCGGCGGCTTGGAGCCGGCGCGGGAGGGGGCAGCGCGCCGCGGCGCCTCTCGCCTTTCTCCTTCAGGTGGCGCAAAACTTTGCGCCTTGGCTTTTGGCAGATTGTATTCCCCACCGCCGCCTCCCTTAAGGGGGGAGCCAAGGCCGTTGTCGATTGCTGCGAGGCTGCAGGGTTGAGTCCCGGGCTTCGCCCCCTGGTCTCTGATGAGGCAGGGACTCTGCGGCCTCTACGCTGCTGGCTTGCCAAGTGCGTGCCGAGCTAGTAGGGGGTCATCTGAAGGGAGGGAAAGGGTGTCTTCCCCCCCACACCCGACGCCTGAGAGGGATAGTGCTCTGGAACGGGAGTGGTTCGGGACTGTGCGCGCCGCGCCTAGTTTTGGCACCAACTGGACCCCCTTAACTCAAGTCTGACCCCCTTTGTGTGCCCCCTAAAGCAGGCTGCCGCGACAATGCCCCTCAACGTCAGCTTCGCCAACAGGAACTATGACCTCGACTACGACTCTGTGCAGCCGTATTTCTACTGCGATGAGGAGGAGAACTTCTACCAGCAGCAGCAGCAGAGCGAGCTGCAGCCGCCGGCGCCCAGCGAGGATATCTGGAAGAAATTCGAGCTGCTGCCCACCCCGCCCCTGTCCCCAAGCCGCCGCACCGGGCTTTGCTCGCCCTCCTACGTGGCCTTCGCGTCCTTCTCCCCAAGGGGAGACGATGACGGTGGCGGCGGCAGCTTCTCCACGGCCGACCAGCTGGAGATGGTGACCGAGTTGCTGGGAGGAGATATGGTGAACCAGAGCTTCATCTGCGACCCGGACGACGAGACCTTCATCAAGAACATCATCATCCAAGACTGTATGTGGAGCGGCTTCTCGGCCGCCGCCAAGCTGGTCTCCGAGAAGCTGGCCTCCTACCAGGCTGCGCGCAAAGACAGCGGCAGCCCGAGCCCCGCCCGCGGCCACAGCGGCTGCTCCACCTCCAGCCTCTACCTGCAGGACCTGAGCGCCGCCGCGTCAGAGTGCATCGACCCCTCGGTGGTCTTCCCCTACCCGCTCAATGACAGCAGCTCCCCCAAGCCCTGCGCCTCGCCCGACTCCACCGCCTTCTCTCCGTCCTCGGACTCTCTGCTGTCCTCCACCGAGTCCTCCCCTCGGGCCAGCCCGGAGCCCCTGGTGCTGCACGAGGAGACACCGCCCACCACCAGCAGCGACTCTGGTAAGTTGCATCCCCAGGACCCCCCCCCTCCCAAGTGTGGGCCAAGGTTGGCAAGGATGGCTGGGCATGGTTTCCTTTTCGCTCATTGGCGCTTAATTCAACTGGCCACTTGGTCCATCTTGCTTTCCTCTTGTTTTTGGAAGGAGAAATGGCTGTTCTGGGAACTTGTCTTCTTTGGACCCTGGAGCTTTAGCGTTCCCTTCCACCCCTTCCATCCCTTCCTCTAGACCGCCCTGGTTGCCAGCCCCCTTCCCGCCCCTCAGGAATTTCATTTGGGTTTTTAAATCTTCTGTCTTATCTTACAACTCAATCCACTCCCTCTTACCTCTCTTAAGCATTTTAATTGCCCCGAGGGGGGTGTGAATGAGGATAAGAGAGTTGATCTCTAGGAGGGTGAATGAATTACCTCCCTCTTCCCCTAACTTCCGAAATATGGTTGGAATTTAGTGGGTCAGGCATCTGCCACACTCAAAGAGGCCCTGACAGCGCCAGGAGCTAGTGAAAGTGCCTTTAGAGCAAAGTGCTAAGAAACTGGCCTCTTTTCAGCCTGTTTTGAACACTTCAAAGCAAATCCTGGCCAAATTCACTTCTTTTTTTTCCTTCTCCCATCCCCCAGGACTTTTGGCAAAGGCTCTGGATTTTTTTTTCTTTCTTTTTACACTTCCAGTAAAATAGGGAGTTGCTAAAGTCATACCAGAAGATTTGCAGCTATCACTCACAACACCTGAAGGGTTCTTGGTAAAGTCCCTTAAAAATAGGCGGTGCTTGGGAACGTACATTTCTTTGGGTGTGTCAAAAGCCTCATTAAGTCTTAGGTAAGAATTGGCATGGATGCCCTATCCTGGTGAATGCCAATTTTCTTGCCTGTGCCATAACGCCAACTGCTATGGTCCTGCCTTGCTGCAAGTCTGCCTTTCTGAGGATAGTTGGCTAGATTTGGATCTTTCTGAAGATAATTTTGCATACAAAGTTTCTTTCTAACAGTCTAACATTCTAATACGTTGGTGGTTTCCTAGTGTTAATTTAAGCTTGTCATTAATTGGTGTAAAGGAACATTGCTAACCAAGCGGTATTCCATTTCCTTCCTTAAAGACGAAGAACAAGAGGATGACGAAGAAATCGACGTTGTCTCTGTGGAAAAGAGGCAGCCCCCTGCCAAAAGGTCGGAGTCAGGGTCATCCCCTACTGGAGGCCACAACAAACCTCCTCACAGCCCGCTGGTCCTGAAGAGGTGTCACGTCTCCACCCATCAGCACAATTACGCAGCACCCCCCTCCACTAGGAAGGACTATCCAGCTGCCAAGAGGGCTAAGTTGGACAGTGGCAGAGTCCTAAAACAGATCAGCAACAACCGAAAATGTGCCAGCCCTAGGTCTTCAGACACGGAGGAGAATGACAAGAGGAGGACACACAATGTCTTGGAACGCCAGAGGAGAAACGAGCTGAAACGGAGCTTTTTTGCCCTACGTGACCAGATCCCAGAGTTGGAAAACAATGAAAAAGCCCCCAAGGTAGTTATCCTTAAAAAAGCCACAGCGTACATCCTGTCCATCCAAGCAGAGGAACAGAAGCTCATTTCAGAGAAAGACTTGTTGAGGAAGAGACGAGAACAGTTGAAACACAGACTCGAACAGCTTCGGAACTCTTGTGCATAAATTGACCTGTTGGAAGGAGGACCTGGAATCTCCTGAGTTCTCACTCCTTACTAAAGGAAAGAACCGACAGAACTTCCACTCATTACATAAAAACTATTTCAAGTGCATGTTAAAAATGCAACCTCACAACCTTGGCTGGGTCTTGACTGTAAGAGTCAGCCATATTGTCAACTGCCTCAGATGGGACGTTGGGCATAAAAGAACTTATTTTATGCTTACCATCTTTTTTTTTTTCTCACTTTTAAGATTTGTATTTAAGAATTGTTTTTAAAAAAAAATCTTAAAAGTTTTCCTGTATAAATATGACCATCCAATGCAAATAACTTTAATAAAAGGTTTATAACCGTTATACAAAATTTCAAACCATGTATTATAAACCATAATTTTTTTATTTAAGTACATTTTCCTTTTTAAAGTTGATTTTTTTTCTATTGTTTTTAGAAAAAAATAAAATAACTGGCAAATATATAATTGAGCCAAATCTTAAGTTGTGTTTTCTTTCTTTTCGTCCAACACCCCCTCCCCATTATCTTTTCATCAATTACAAATTAACAGAATTTGACCCTTAAGAGAACAGGCTTCCAAAGACAGGAAAAGTTATTCTAAGAAAGGCTAGGGATTTTCTTTGTTAAAATGGGTCTTAGGGGTTTCCAGAGTCTTTAGATCTCAGGGTTCTAAGATGCTTCCTGGAGATGGTGATAAGAGCCAGAGTTGATAGTTTGGGAAAGGGCAAAAGGCTGGTGAGAAGGTTAGAGGTAGAGAAAGGAGAAGGAGGTTAAAGATAACAGTTAAGTATACAGAGGGATAAGGACTGGAGGCTGGGAAGCCACTAAAGAAACCCTTCAGTTAACTCAAGCCATTCCCCTGCTCACTTCAAACTCAGAGGCTGCCCAGTGAAAGCCTTGGTGGGGGAAGGGAAGGAACCACCTTTTGCTCTTTGCCTATAGCTCCCAGGTGGCAGCTCTCTCACCCTGTTATCTCCAAAGAGAGGAGCCCGAGAGGAATGTGACTATTAACCAAACAAGGAAATGTAAAACCCTCTCAGAGGGTTATGTAATTTATCTGAGGCCACACAGAGTAAAATGCAGAATCCAGGTCCTCTGACCAAAACAGCCATCATGCCTCTGCTCAGCTTGAGTCTGAAGTTCTCAGCTCAGGAATGTTGCGGGTGGAATACATGGTTCAAGCCTGTAATCCTAGCTACTCAGAGGGAGAGGTCAGGAGAATCAAGGTTCAAAGCCAGCCCTGGCGAATAGCCAGTGCTATTTTGAGATCCTCTCTCAAAAATACCCAACACAATAAAGAGCTGGCAGAGGAGTTCAAGTCATAGAGCCCTTGCCGAATAAGCATGAGGCCCTGAGTTCAAATCCCAGTGCCATCCAAGGAAAAAAAGAAACCTGTTGGTTTAGGGTCTGAATGACTCAGGTAAGATAGGACTAAATTCTATGCATACTACAGGTACACTTAGAAGTTTTTACTTAAAATCTACAGCAACTTCATTGAGGAGGTACTGTTGATTTCCCTATATTTCAAAAGGAGAAACTGAGGCACAGAGAGACTCACCTATGTACCAAAGGGACTCAAACCCAGGCTGTCTGCACTTAACTATCTGGTAGGAATAACCAGGCCATTCATGAGAACAGGAGTCACAGCCCAGTGAATTATGTAATTAAAATTTTAATATTCAGACCTCATCAGACATCAGTTCCTCTTTTTTGGTTATTGGTGATTTTGCTTATTTTGCCATTATTTAATTTTTCCTGTCACTTTAAGAAGCCCACAACTCATTCATTCCCACCTTCGCCCTTAGTTACATTAGATTCCCTGCTTTGCTACTGGGAAGAAGCCAGTTTGGAAACGCTACTGTTCAGTTCATAAAATAAAGCATACTTAGCCTTTGTCATGTGAGTCACTATTTTAGAAACTGCAAACTCTCCTTCCTCCTAACCACTTTCACACACTCATGACACATGCTCATCTTTAGTCTATGAGAAAGCATTTTTGAATAGATGTTTTATTAATTATAAGCCTTTGAAAACCAATGGCCAAACCAAAAACTGAAACATTGCAAAGGTGAGTGGAAGTTACCTTTGCGATTGCTACCTCATTGTCTCCATCTCAGAGAAAGATCTTGGGCTCCCTGGACTATCTTTGGGAGTTTAATCCACTATCACTCATAAACCAAAAATAATAATTACAGTCTTTGACCCCTAGAATAATCTATTCAACCCCTTAATGTCTCCTTGATCTTTCTTTTTGGTCCTTTGTCCCACCCTCAGCTTCAAACTGGCATGCCCTATATCCTAAATTCAAAGGAAAATGAAATTCCCAGACGTTGGGGAGTTCAAAGGGTTACAAAAGCGGGGGCGCTCTTAAACTGTTCTCTCTTTGCCCCTTTGTGGCCCAGGGCTGGAGTGCAGCCCTGGAGTGACTCACTTGAGAACTGGGAAGGTGTTAGTTTGAATCACTACGTCCAGGCAAGCCCAAGGAAGAGGAGAGAGTGTTCCTTGCTAGGAAAACAACTCCCCTTTCCAAATGATCAGGAACAACTTTGAGGATGTGGGGTGTTTGGCTGTGGGAATAGAAGGGAACTGTTCCAACCACCTATTAGGCTACCCCTCAGCTTTACCCAGCCAGAGAACAGTGTAAAAACAGGACAGATGCCAACATCCTTCCAGAAAATCAGGCTGATCCTGATCACAAAGTACATTGTCCCTGACAGCCAATGCAGAGTCCCAGGGGTCTGTGCCATTGTGCAATCTGATTTGTAGATAATAATCAAGATTTGGGGTGGAGGGCAGGAGCTTGCCACTTGGTGGGGAATATACAAGAAGGAAGAAGCTAATACCATCTCTGTCATTTACCCATGACACTGGAATTAAGGACTGCCCCAGGGGATTCCTGGAATGGTTTTATTCAGGGTGGAATGTATACAGAGGAAGGAAGTGTTATTTATGCTGCCACTTGGAAGCAACAAAGGAGATCAATGTTATAAAAGTAATCAATCAAGCTTGAAAATGAACAAAGTTTTCACAATCCCCAGCTAATACTCAAAGCTTGTACATAGAAGTAGAGCACTCCACCGGTCTTCATGACAAACTCTGGCACAGAGCTTGGGAAAAGAGACAAAATATATATATCGAATGAGGGGGTTTTCTGTGGTTTGTTTATAATAACCTATGATTAGCTCAGTCAATAATTATTTTTTGGCATACACGCTAAAGGACCCTGAAAATTTCTTCCCAACAATAAACAATTCTTATATTAGAAAATGCTGAAGGATATCCCTCAAGCCTATGTACAAATATGCCATTAGATACCTTTACAAAAAACTCCTCATTTAAGATTCTAGCCATTCTAGGCCTATTTCAAAGGCGAAAGGGTAGAAACAAAGTTAACAAGGAAGAACAGAGTTACATTAAAAAAAATTTAAAAGGGCTGGAGGTGTGGTTCAGTGATCGAACCCTTGCCTAGCATGTGTGAGGCTCTGGGCTTGATCCCCAGCACCACAATAAAATAGAAATTTAAAAAAGCACTCACCACCAAAACGTTAGCATCATTTCCTTTTTTGTTCTGGCTCCTTTGAAGGAATTTAGACAAACTGGAAATTTCGAGGAAACACCCAATAATGAGGGCTGTGCCAAATTGGTGTGAGGTATTCTAAATGACCCTGAGGTGGATTTCGTATTGTAGTTTTATTTCACTCAATATTAGTCTATACTAAGCTCTTTAGGAAGACACAGTTGAAAGCAAGAAGTGTTAAAAGGATGAAGATCTTCTGAGGCTGAAAGGAATGTCCTTTGTCTTGAAACAATGCTTAGGAGCTCACCACAATCCCCAACACTTTCTTCCCATTGTCACCTCCTCATCCCATGAAGGGATAAACCCTCCAGTGTAGTCAGAGGTCTACAGGGGTGGGGAAGGGGCGTGTCTGGGGAAAAGAGTTAAATCTTGGGGACACACCCACTCTGCCAGACCCTCCCTGCCCTGGACCCCCAGGACAGCCCAGCTGAAGAACAATTGTTGAATGTGACAATACTGAAGTTAAAGTTCTAAAAGTACCAATGGTTAATGTTTACCATAGCAAACACTTTACGGCAGTTATTTTATCCCCAAAGCAATTCTTAGTAGGCAAACTTTATTTTACAAATGAGGAGATGGAAACTTTGAGAGATTAATTTGCCTGTGTTTATTAAGTTGGCAAATGGTGAAAGCAGGAATGATTCATTCATTCGTAATTATTTATTGAGCACCTACTGTATACTCACACTGTGCTGGGGCTGGGAAGAGATATTGAAATAAACAAGACAGATTCTACCAGGAGCTGCTTGTGGACCGGTAGCAAACAAAGAAAACGAGCAGTTAGACTCTTAACTTATTTTGCTGTTTTAAAATGTTGTTTTTTTTCTTTGTGAGGCTTCATGCATGCTGCCACTGAAATACTTGCCCAGCCCAAGAGCTATATGTGCAACATGAGACTTCAAGTTATTTTACTGACACTGTCTGAGTAGCAGGTGGGCACAGTTTCCTCTACAGCAGGTGGGAGTTGGAGGACGGGGAGTTGCTTCTCCCTTATTCCCAACAAGGAATCAAAGAATGAAGTCCTGAAAGTATTGAAAGAGGACCCAATAGAGGGCAGGAGGAATGGCTCAAGTGGTAAGAGGAAGCCCTGAGTTCAAACCCTAGTACAGGCACAAAATAAAAAGGAGGAGCCAAAGGACAAGGTATCAACAGAAGATGGATGGAAGCAAGGCGTGCAGGGAGGGGCCGATGGAGGAAGCCTATCTAATTATTAGAAGTGTGCTAAAGACAGCAAGAAGAGCAGCAAGATGGTTCCACTGGACTTTACAGTGGGGAGGCTCTTCTAGGTCACACCTCCTTCCTTCCCCACCCACCCAGGATGCGCCCTCTCTTTCGCACTGTCGTTTGAGCTATCACCTGAGGAAGCTGCCTAGATTCTCCAAGCAGACTACCTTCATGCAATACCCTTTCCGTTCTTTTCCCTTCCCCTTCCCTTCCACTTCTTTTCCTTTTCTTTCTCCCGTTCTCCTTTCTTGACAACGTCTCCCTATGTAGTCCAGGCATGCCTCAAACGAGATCCTTCCGCTGTTTTTGTGTCTTGAGTGCTGGAATCACAGACATGTACCACTACCCTGGCTTTCCTTCAATACTTTCTCCAGGAGTTCCCCAAGTGTGACTCTGGGGCCAGCAACATCGATGTCACCTGGGAATTTGACACAGATGCAAACATGGGCTGGCTGTGTGGTAGAGTGTCTGCACGGTCAGCTCAAGGTCTTGAGTTCAAATCCATGTACTACCAAAAAAAAAAAAACAACAAAGAACAAAAAAGAAAAGTAGACACATAATCT